CACTTTTTTCTCATATTCTATCTCTCCTTCTCAGTTATTTCATGGATGAGTTACCCGTTGTGGATGCATTTTACGTGTTAATAGCCTGGAGCCAAAATCCATCTCAAGACCAAGACCCACACGATTACCGCCGATTATCTAGCCTCCCGTTTAATTCCCATTGCAAGATTTACTTCAAATGTCCCATCCGTAATTTTTGGTGGAGAATAAATATCTGATTTCTTTCTCGATTTCACCTGTGAGCAGGAAGACTTTGAGTGCTGCAGCCCCACGAAGATCAGCAGCTCTGCTTGACCTGCTCTGATTTGCAGCATAAAGATTCACTGAGCTCATTATCCTGCAGCAGCTTCTCTTTCATCAGCTGGAGCTTCAGCTTGTTGCACCAAACACACAGCAGCACAAACAGCCTTCCACACTTAAACAAATCCTAATGAGGCGTGTAACTACTAGTTTGTGCTGGTCTCCTTATGCTTGTTATAGAGCTTTCACTGCCTAAATTGTGTTTCTCTGCATTGCCGTGAGCACAGAGGGCTGAAATGCTGTTTGTGCACGTGTGCATGCTGCAGCCCCGTTGCACACCTCTGGTACACAAGTGGCTGCATTCATACTGTAAATATCAGTTAATGAAGTGTGTTGATGTTGCAGGTAAACGCTGCAACTTTTAAGTAGAACAAAGGGAGGAGGGAAACTTAAAGATTAATTGTTTCATGAAAGTGTTTCTTTTTAAAGAACAACTTCACTGAAAAACTATTTTTTACTTTTGAATATGATTGGTCGCTCACTTTTACATACAGGCTGAATGTGAAAATGCTTTTGTACCCCAATGAAAAAATAGGCGAGGAGAAGCTTGGATTAGAAAAGCCACGCAGATCTATGTCACACTGTAAATTAGCATTCATAGACTCACCCATCTTGGTTCACGATGGGAAAGGCTGTTGGTTTAGCGCTCAGGATACAGCCTAGAACGTCTTGGCTAGTAGAAGCTAACTGTTAGCATTAGCAGTTCCACAACACAGTAGAACTCCTTCAGGCTTCTGCTATTTGTGGAGATAAAACATCAGTGGTGCAGAGCAAATGGAGTCAGTGTTACAGTAGTGTTGCATGTAGCCAATCAGAGGAGAGATGTCTGAGTATCAGGAAATAAGTAACACTCCAAATCCTGCAGTTTCTTTCTACCTGATACAGGAGCGTGAGAGCTTTTTTCACCACAGGGATCAACTCACAAGGTATTCATTTTTACTAGAGACCAGTGCAAATGGGCCACCAACTCTATGAGAGACACATCCATCTGACTCCCTTTGATCCCATGCCACACCTCCACTTCCTCATGTTAAAAAAGTAAACCTCCCCACCATTCACACCATGGACAGTGAAGGGAGGCGGCGCAAGCCCTCAAAAGCAGTTTTTACAGGACCATAGCGTTTGCAAAATGGGATTTGCCGCGGCTCCCTGGGGAGGTTTTTGGCATTTATAGTAGCAAAGCTGAAGCTAGAATAAACGGCCATCAGGCACCTCTCAAACCAAGACGGGATAAATGGAGGTCACTGGATGGCCCCCCCGCATGTGATGTACAGCGTCGCGCATTCAGCGTCTAGATGGAAGACGCGTCAGACTGATGAAATTTCTTTTTCAGGACCTTTAGCTTTGATGTGACCTGCTTTTTGTCCCACTTGACGCCCCGCTCAGCCAGTGTTTTCACCACTCTGTCGAACAGCTGGCTGTCTCTCACCGTTTCCGTAAAAAGGCGACTAATCTGTTGGACCGCTCACACGGCCAAAAGCTCCATGGTCTCCGTGTCCGTCCAGTTTGGCATGTTGTAGGTGGTTGAAAGATACTAGTGAGAGGCCATGTTTACCTGTGTTTATATCCCTTCTGGCCGGCACTCAGCGCGCAGTATATGTCACTAACGTGACCACCCTCTTTTGTGGGGGGGCCTCCCACAGTCGCTCCAAAGGGATTAGCTTAGCTGACACGTGTTTAGCCGTCAGAGGTGAGAGGCTCATGAGGCAATATTACTAGGAGGCTAAGCGCATCAGAATCGAGTTTTATCACCTTTCCCCTTTGCTCCTTGCCTCAATTACAAGACCCACAAATTCGGATTTATCACTCTGTAATGACGCGATGGTCTGTCTTATAAAAGAGGCTTTTACCACCCCCACCCTCACCCTGCTCTCACACTTACTTACTTACTTACTTACTTACTTACTATATATGCTTCCAATTGGTAAAATCATTAGACAGCATGGGATAAACTTCCACTGTTATGCTGACGATACTCAGTTATATCTATCCATTAACCCTGATTAACCTGATCGGTTAGATTACAGGCTTGTCTTGAAGACATAAAAAATTGGATGACTCAAAACCTTCTGCTTTTAAATCAAGACAAGACTGATGTTCTCATCTTTGGACCTGAAATTCAGAAAAGGAAATTGCTGCACTTGACATGAATGGCATTAAATTAGTCTCCGAGAACAATGTAAGGAACCTTGGTGTTATCTTCGACCAGGACATGTCATTCAAATCCCAGGTTAAACAGGTTTGTAGGATTTTCTTTTTCTACCTTCAAAATATTGCTAAGATTAGAAGCATCCTTTCCAGGAGTGATGCTGAAAAACTAGTTCATGCATTTATTACATCAAGACTGGATTACTGTAATTCATTACTCTCAGGAAGTCCACAGAATGTAGTTAAAAGTCTTCAGCTTGTCCAAAATGCTGCAGCTAGAGTTCTGATGAGAATAAAAAGAGAGATCATATCTCTCCTGTCTTAGCTTTCCTACATTGGCTACCTGTTAAATTCAGAATAGATTTTAAGACCCTACTTCTCACATATAAAGCTCTTAATTATCAAGCTCCATCATACATCAGTGACCTGATTGTTCCATACGTTCCTAACCGAGCACTTCGCTCTCAGACTGCAGGTTAACTGGTGGTTCCCAGAATATCTAAAAAATAGGATGGGAGGCAGATCTTTTAGTTATCAGGCTCCTCTCTAGTGGAACCAACTCCCAGCTTTAGTCCGTGAGGCAGACACCTTGTCTACTTTTAAGACTAGGCTTAAAACATTTTTATTTGATAGGGCCTATGGTTAAAATCTGATGTTAGCCTAGATCTGGTCAAGTGGGGGAGTAGAGGGAGGTGGAGTGTACAGTTGGTAAAGACGGCTCTCCCTTGCCCTGCCTCCAACATGCCTCCATCTAAAAGGCTAGGTTATCCAGAGTTATCTCTGTAGTTATGCTGCTATAGACTTAGACTGCTGGAGGACATACTGACCACTTTCCACACTCTACTAACTTTCTTCTACAATTTGCTCTTTAACTGCATTATTTCCTGCTACTTCAGCTATTAACTTTATTTTGTCTTTAAGTGTTTTTCTCCCCAGAAGAAGCTATGATGATGTTCTGCTGAGCTGTGGTAGCAGAGAGATATGAGGAACCACCTTTCTTCAAGATTTTTGACAGGTCTATTGTTCTTTGACCTTAATGCCCTTCCCCCCCAAACCACCTTACGTCAAACTTGACAGGTGTATTGTTTTATGACCTTTTGTGATATGATCTTTAATGACCCTATATGTCAAGAAATTAATTGATGACTGTTGTGTAATGTCGCATGAAATTATTGATTGTATTCCCTTTTGTCAAGATGTATATTGATGATCTGCTTTGATGTATTCAATCTGCACCACTTTACATCAAGTTAGGATTGATAACTCTTTTGTGTTAAGCTTGGTTTATGCTTGATGCGTCATCGAGGTTCGCACGGCTCCGCGCGGCAAAATTGCGTCATTTTAACAACCACGCCCCTGGCAAAAACTAGTATGGCAGAGGTTCGTAAATACAGACATTTGTATGATTCAGCTCTCAAAGATCACCGTGATCAACATGTTGTTGACAATTCTTGGAGAGAAATAGCTCGCACTGTCGGAAAAGACGTGGACGCTGTTAAAAATGCTGGAATGCCATGTTGTAAACAACAGTAATTTTTCCTTCTACTATGGTGTAGTGTTGGATGCATGCCATAGAACTCCATGCTGCCCCGTTCAGTTTGGGAGAATATTGGCTCACCGCAGAGACAAGCCGCATGAACCATAAACGCTGCAAGTTGTGAAGCACGTTCCAGCCGCGAGCCGCATCACCAAGCGGAAAGTAAATGCGTCAAACATAAACCAAGCTTCAGGAGACCTTACCCCACAGTTCCCACAGCCCCTCCCTTTCATATGTAATACCCCAGGCATGAGTCAGGCATTTTCTGAAAGGGGGAAGCACTTTAAAGTGTATGTGTGTGTGTGTGTGTGTGTATGTGCAGGGATGAGGGGGTATTATGTATGAAAGGGAGGGGCTGTGGGAACTGTGGGGTAAGGTCTCCTAACATAAAAGATCCTCTGGAGGTTTCTTCCTGTTAAAAGGAAGTTTTCCTTTCCACTGTCGCTAAATGCTTGCTTAGTATGAGGATTGCTGCAAAGTAACTGACACTAGTCAGTGACTCAATGCAATTTGCTGGGTTCCTTATATAGGAAACTTTTTACTGATTGGCTTAATGAACTGAGCTGTATTGGAATGTTTACTGTGTGAAGTGCCTTGAGATGACTCTTGTCGTGATTTGGCGCTATATGAATAAACTTGAAGTGAATTGAACACTTGGAAAACTTTAAAGCCTGGCCGCCCTCCAAATGTATTGAAAAAGATAGAGAACTTGTTCCTTAAGTTACCAGATTAGTTTGTAAGTATTAGTAATTATGAACATACTTATAAACAATCATTACTCTGGACACAAGGGTTGAAAAAAGAACACTTTTAGGAGTGGAAGAGTCAATTATAGCTTTTTACGTAAAGAAAACACAATTGTGAACAAAAGCTTATGCTGCCTCAGCACAACCACCCCATTTTAACCAAAATGCCATAATGACTTTGATGTTATTTAAAATTGTTATTGTTGACACACTAGGCTGTCTGTCTCAGCCATATTTTAGTGTAATTAAAATACATTTATCTAAAAAAAGACCTTGTTCTTAAATGGTTTTGCTTCATCAAAATATTTTAATGTGTACAAATGAATCTTTTTAAAAAGTGTAATTACTGATAAGTAAAAAATTGTGTATGTGCAAATTATCAAGTCTTTGCAACAGTTGTGACAGCTTAAATACAGTTACTGTATGTGTGTAAATATACATACACACACACACACACACACACACACACACACACACACACACACATATATATTTCCTCTGAGAAGAAAGCCGACACTTTTAGTGTCCACCACCCATTCTATGCATCCAAACTGGGGAAGAGCATCACAAAATGTTACATGTCCTGGTGTTTTCTGGCCCTTTTAATCTGGTGGGTAGAAAGTCCCCTGGCAGCTTGGGAATACCATCCAAGACCTCGAGATTTGGCAAACAGGAGAAAACACTGAATGCACAGAAAAGAAGCAGAGAAACACAATGAAGATCACACGAAAATGAATTATTTGTCTCCTGTTAATTCATGCATCTCATTAAAGTCTTTTCACCGTGAGCGGTAGTCCTGAGTGAAGGTCACTGGGTTGCGGGTCAGGTTAATGGAGCGCAGTGGGCTGTTTCCCAGCATTCCCAGTCCCTCCAGGGAGCTGATAGCATTCTCCGACAGACATAGGTGCTCCACCACTGGGAGTTTTGGCAGCTGACGCAGACACACCAGGTGGTTACGGTGCAGATTCAGCATTCTACACCTGTGAAAAATAAAATGAAATGCAGCATACTTTCAGAAAGTCTCAACAAAGAGGAAACTGAAAATCAGGACAACTTACTTCAGCTGGGATCCACAGCTTTGGTCGCTCCAAAGCTGATTACACATTTATTTAAACCACTTAAAAGACTGTGTGAGTTTCAACAGCTGCCAGGAGCACCATCTGGGACATGCTTGTTTCACAGTGAAGCGTTCATGCTAATTCAACTCACAGTCTGAACTTTACAGGAGCAAAACAAGTGAGCATCGTAAGCTTTATTCCCCTTTCACTGCTGACTGTTTCCTGTCCAGCTATTGGGAGATTTGTGCTAGAGACAACTTGAAATAAACCTTTGGAGTCTTTCGATGGTATTAGCAGCAATAAACAGCGGACCCACCAGGTAAGGAAGTGGTGGATTGTGTGTACCTTGGCAGACGTACAAAACTCAGGTTGGTGAGAGAGTTGTCGATCAATTGTAGTTTCTCCACACGGATTAACCTTCGAAGTATCCGGAAAAAATTCTCCTGCTGATAGAGATCGCCCAAGTCTTGGTAGGACAGATTTAACTCCTGGAAAAGGGCAGATGGTAAAACATATCCTCTCCCTCTAATTATCTGATTTTCTCCTGTGTTGCACATTTTTATCAACCCAAGAACACAAAACCTGTTGACTTACCAGACAGTTTTCCCAGTTCTCTTGCAGTCTCTCCTCCCATCTCTGACCTTCCTCTTCTCTCCTTTTCCTCCTTCCTTCCTCCAAAAAGAGGTTACCTCCCTGCCTTAGAAACTGCTCCTCCTCTGATGGCCCTTTTGGTTTTAATTGTCAAAAAAAGACAAAGGCCAAAAGTTTTACTCATCAATATGGATGGAAGAAAATATTAATACACTGAAATATCATAAAAGTTCATATTATGATACTGAATATATATTTTAAAGCAGTGTAATGATTTTTAATCATTGAGAATTTACATCCAAACTTTTAATGTATTTCTTTTCTGTGGTGCAATTCATTCTCCGACTGGTAGGTGGCAGCAGCTTTTACTGGCTTCCTTCTGACTGAACAAGAACTCTGGTGGGCGTCATTAGGATTTGTAGGATGCATAGATATGTATACAAAAACTGTGTTTATATACATATCTATGGGATGTCCAAGGAATATCCCACATTTCTTGCCTCTGATTGGCTAGAAGGGCTCTCCTACGACTGGCTATTCATTTAGCAGCAAACCATTTTCTACAGTCACTGGTTCCCTCGCTAAGTGCTGATTATCCTTCCTGCCATCAGCAGAACAGCTGTTTTGGGGACTTTTGTAAAGAAAATGTGAACTTAGCACTATAAAAACCAGTCTGTCCTGTTTTGCTGAATATGTTTGTATGTTTTTGTTATTAAAAAAGCTAAAAAACATAAAATATGTGAAATTATAATAAATCGTGTTGTATTTATCACACTTTTGGACTTACTTTATATCTGTTGACTCTTCATCATTGCAAAGTACATAGGATAAACACATGTGTGTTATACCTGGGTATGAAATGTAATAAAACTGCCCTATTCTGTGCGCCAGGTCTGTTTCTCTTCTAGAATAATAAAACTGCTGAAAATAGGTCTACATCATAATTAGCTTGAATACATTTTGATTAAACGATACACATTTAAACAGATGATGAGAGATGTGTCCTAACCAGGCCCCCACAATGCGGGTGAAAAATTGAGGCCAACCCAGAAGTACCATAAATTGCAGTTCCACCCTCATCCACTAGGGGCAGGTGTCAGAAACAAGCAAATCCTCATTGACCCCCATGTTAAAAATACCTATTTCACAGCAGAAATCAACATGTTTACAGCCTGGTTTCAAAACATGTTTTTGGTTTAAACGATCTAGTTTACACTCATGACAACTCTGAGGGGGGTGAATTTTTTTCTCACTCTTCTGTTTAAGTGTATTAAAAGCCTAAAATTCTGTATAATTAATGAGCATCAGACCCACGTGACCGCAGAGCTAGCTCCGTGGAAAGGCCTCAGTAGAGCCTCGGTCTGGCTTGGAAACTGCTCCGGCATTTTGAGTCTCTGTGTTTGTGTTTTTTTTTTTTGGATATTTTTTGTGCAATTGTTGGACAAAATGACTTGCTGTGGCATTAATTGCACTAATAGAGCATCCAAGGAGTCTCCACTTCATTTTTTTCAGTAAGTAAAATTATATTTATGTATTTTAGGTCACTGCCGAGCTGAGCTTAGATTTTAACATGTACTGTTTAACCATGAAATTTAAATGTAATAGGGTAAAACCCAGTGCATTTAACACAATGCTGCACTTTAGAAAATGGGTTGAAATATAACATGTTGGTGGAGCTGGGTTCCGACTATCGGCTTGTGGAGCTCTCGGGAGACGATGTTTTCCACCCGGGTCTCCCCTCCCCACAGCTCGGCGCATCTCTGTCTGATCGCGGCTTCTGTGTGCTGCGCGGGCTGCCGGCTTTCAGCAGCTTTCGGGAGACCTCTGTGTCCCACCCGGTTTTACCCAGTGGTCAGCCCGGCGTAACCTCCGTTAGCTTAGCTCCCACCTCCGCATTAGCTTTGGGTTAGCTTCAGGTTAGCTTGTAGCTAGTTCGACCGGGTGTCATCAGCTGATCCCAGCCTTACAGCCACACCCTCAGCTCCTCCTCTCTTCCCTTTTGTGGAATTGTCTGGGCTTGATGAAACCTGTGACATGGTCAAAATGGCGGTGGTGGCCACCTCCCATTTAGCCTCAAAAACGTGTTATTGGAGACTATGGAAACCCATTGTCCAATATTTATATGTCGATGGTCCCAACCGAGGAGGAACCCCAGATTCTCAGACCTGGAGCCAGCAAGGAAGTGGCTAAAATTGCAGTTTCACTCTCATCCTCTAGGGGCTGCCACCAGAAGTGAGCAAATCCTCATTGACTCCCATGTTAAAATGACAATTTTAGATCGGAAATAAATGTGCTTACAGCCTGGTCACAAAAACATATTTTAGATTTAATATATCTAGTTTACATTCATGACAACTCTGAGGGGGGTGAATTTGTTTGTAACTTTTCTGTTTAAGTGTAATTATAATGCTTAAAATTCTGATAGGGTAAAGAGATACATGTGCATCAGAGCCATGTGACTTCAGAGCTAGCTCTGGGGAAAAGCCTCAGCCTGGGCCTCATGTTAATAGATGTTTGGCTATTTAGAGGAGAGCTTCAGACGTCAGAATTCGGAGTCTTATTTCCAGATATTTGGACATCTACCACCAACTCTGTTTGCTTTGTAATGCTGATGTTTTATCTCCACAGATAACACATGTCTGAAGGAGTTTTGCCGTGTTGTGGAGTTGTACTGCATACAGTTGGCTTTATCTAGACGTTCTCTGTCATTTCCTGGATGCTAAACAAACAACAGCCTTCCTTGTGAGTTAAGATGGGTGAGTTCATGAATGTTAGGTGACAGTGTGATGTAGACCTGTAGGCTTTTCAAATCCTAGCGTTTCACCATCTATTTTCTATCAGAAGCTAATGCAGGAGATAGGTGTAGGAAACTATTTTCAGGTTCAGCCTGCATGAAAAAACTCAGAGTGACCGATTATAATCAGAAACAATCATTTTAATTGCTGAAGACAATTGAGAATAATCATTTTGCTTGATGAATAGAGGTGTGTACTGGCGAGAGTCTGACGATACGACATATATCACAACACAGGCAATGTGATATATTGCGATACTAAAATCCAGACGATATTTGCAATTTTTGACACTTTCAGCTGCTGAAAAAAAATACAAGTCACACACCTTCTCTGACCCGGGGGCAGGTCAGCTGGTCACCTGTCACATCACACTGCTCCAGGCGATGCCAGGACACAAACCGGAAGCGACTTGATGGAAGCTGAGGAGATGAAGACCAGGATAAGGTGACTGATGTGACCACTCAGAGTGAGAGGCAGCTGTAATGTAACCAAATCCAATGTTTGAACTTCTGCTATCAGACGTAACATGCAAATGCATCATTCAGCGAAGTATGCTCGGAACACGTCAGTGAGTCACATCCTTTCCTGAGTTTAACCAAAAGTCTGCTACAAACTGTGAAATGCATCTTGGCTGAAATTCTGCAGGGGAACATCTGCATCATTTAACTGGATAAAGCAGGCGGAGGAGAACAACAGGTGCGTCCCATCAGTCTAACTCTATGGAATGTCAAAATTCAGTGTGTCATTATAGAGGCCATTAACTGTTACAGCTAAGTGTGTAACAGGGTGACTCCAATTGTTTCAGTGACTGACGAGAGCCACTGGAGTTTTTATTACCTTGTCTCTCTTCTGCACCTAATCTAATCCCACTTGTCATGCATCTCTCCACCAGAGTATGAAAGACATCATTTTGTTCACAATCAAATAACAGATCTATACGAAACTTTCACTGTGACATCACAACCACCTAATTCTATTTTATAAAGGCATCCAAATAATAAAATAATACAATATACAACACTGTAAAACTTACTGGGCTAAGTAGTACTGGTGCCCTTACAAATCTCTTCAGGTTTTTATTTCTTTATTTTTTTTCACTCTTGGTTATTTAAGAAAGGGTATGAAGCAGCTGAGATGAAGATCAGCACCTCTTAATCCATGACCATGGTTCTTAACTAGAAATTGGTGCATTGCGAACCCCAGGTCGGAGGAGATGTCTCACTTCAAGTGGGGGAGTATAATGATGCTTTCACATCTGGGTCTGCCTGACTCTGTAATTGTGTTAACATCTGGGTAATCTGCGTTTTCCGTGCTCAGCTGACCGTTTTTGGGACCTGTTCTATCGCGGTCCGCTTCGTGCCAGCTGAGCCAGCACAGCCACTACTTACTGATTGACCAGCTGAAGTTCACTCCTACTTACTGGTGGGAGCCTCTGATTGGCGGGTAGAATCAGCCAGTGGCAGCTTCCCGCATGCTCTATTTACTATCAGTCTGGATGCAGTGGAGTAAACTTCTTGTTCATGTGTGAACAACAGACACCACTGAGTGAACAAAACCGGGTCCAGTAGCGGTTTTAGGCACGGGCAGACAGGGCAGTTGCCCGGGGCGGCATTTTTTCATGACACAAAAGGGGCGCACAAGCGTTCAATAAAAAGAAAGAAAGAAAGAAAGAAAGAAAGAAATCTGCGCCGCACCGAGGTTTTCTATTGTCATATGACAGTGTCTGGATTGGAAACAGCAAGTTGGCGCCCCCTGCAGCTGCAGGCGTTCATGCTGACTGAGAACGTTCATGTGCTCCGGAAGGGAAGGGGAGGGGTGCGGTGGGGGAATTCACCTCTGGGTGGGTCCAAATGAAATGAGTGGGTAGGGGCTGAATCAACTGTATTAACATGGCTAAAGTCAATCACATCTTGATGTTCTTCCATTTAACGCACATTTCATTCATAATATCATAAACACAGGCCTATCATTGTTTCAGGTTTTTCTGAATTGTGTGAAATGGCCGAATAAAAAAAGGAAAAACAAAACGATTTTGTGGTCACCCCCCCATCAAGGTCAAATTGTTTAGTCCTGACTAAAGGACAATGAGTTAAGAGCCAAACAGAAGAGATGAACATAAAAAGGCTAAAACCACCAGGTGCCCGATTCATGAAAATGAAGAAGAAAAAAAAGGGCAGAAAGATAAAGGTATGTAAGCTCTCATGCTGCATGTTTTAATTTTTTGAACCAGTTAACTGGGATTTTAACGGTTAAATTCGGTCAACTAATTGCTAACAGAGCTAATAGGGCTGAAATATTGAAACGAATATTCAAATGGTTCGAAAAAATTCCTTGAATCGTTTTTCACTGATTCAAACTAGGATTTGTTAAATGCTCGCTGCAGCCTGTGGCCTGCCTGAACAACAAACACATGTTGATCATGTTCACATGATAATAAATAAAACAACTCTACAAGCAGAAGAAAACTCCCCAGTCACCACTAACTATCCTGTTTATTTATTGCAGATGGCTGCACTGATTATTTTTTACATGATTTGTTCTGTAAAAGTTGGCATTTTTGTTAGTCTACAGTTTATTTTTATGCCAGTTTAAAGTACAATTTCAGAGGCAATTCTAAAATATTATGGATCATGATAAAGATCTATTGCAGATCTACCCCAACTTTTGGACTGCTCTGCCAGTCCCTGTGGCTCAAGCTGAGAGGAGCTTTTCAAAACTTGATCAAGTCATACCTGAGGTCACCTATGTTTCAGGGGCGGCTCACTAACCTGGCTCTGATTAGTATCAATCACTCAGTAGGGGAGCAGATTTCATATGATGACATTATTGATGACTTTGCATCAAGGTTAGGTTTTAATTTTAGTTTGTGTTTTCTGTTCTAAGTGCAGTGCTGTAGTGATTATCTTTAGTTTGATATGTGTGAAATATTTTTGCTATTTAGTAGGGCTGTACGATATTAGGAAAACCTGCGATATTCGATAACAGTGCTTAATTTTGCAATACCGATATTACTCACGATAAATGAACAAATACTAAAGTATGCAGTGTTGATGTCGTCTGGCGTGTGACGTTTGCTCTGGGTTCAAAGCAAACAAAAATTAATGCATGAATTCCATTACAGCATACCATTTTTATTGAAAAAATATGCAGCTGCACCTGCTACTGTATTAGCAGCGAAACAACAAACTGCATGCATGCAGTTTCTCAGTGACTTTAAAACATCACCTCCACTATAAAACTTTTTCTGATGCTCCAAATACAGAAAAACATCCCTTACCAGGGTTTTTGAATAAATGAAAAAAAAAAAAGAAAATAAGTTTAAATGTTAAACAATAGTTAACATCACTTAAATGCAACAGCAAATTCTCTCATTGCTACTGAGCATTTTCTCCACTTATGTGGTTATGTTATAAGGCTGTTGCTGTAACTGGGAAGTGAACTGTGCTGGGCCAAACTAGGAGAGTATTGAGATTTTCTGAGGGAAAGAGAAAAACAATTGTCTACCTTTCAGAAGAGGAACTGGCAAAAAACTACATGGAAAATATGTGAAAACGTTTGTTTTTAACCCCAAATTGAACAAGTTTACCTAGATCTTAAAAAGCAGCTCAGATGATGAAACTGCAACTATGATTCTGATAACAAGCTAACAAATTGAACTAGCTCCTCTAAGATAACCGGCTAGCAGAGCTTCTGACTGACAGTGTATGTGCAGCAGCAAATCAACTATCCTGATTAACAAGGTTATAAAAGCTCATAAATGAAAAATCACTTTGATGTGTGGGGGAACTTTTCCAGGCCCTCTTTAGCAGGGTGGGACTGGGAGGAGAGTGCTGTAGCCTTTTAGCTGGAAGCTAACTGGAGCCTGGGGCTAATGGTGGGTTGGTTCACAGGCACGTGTGGGAGTCAACCCGGTTATTATCAGCTGCTTAACGACACAGAGCGGACTCACGTTCACGTTTGAAAGCAGCACTGATTCCAGAAACCTCAGCACAAAGTGAGTTCGTTAATATGAGCCAGCATGACGAACAAGGGAAGCGAGCGGCAGCGGAAAGCGGGGGGCAGAGCAGAGATAGTGGAATTTTGGGGTAAGGGTCTACGTAGGGGGCGGGCGTATTACGTGAACGGACCCGTCTGATTGGCTGCATATCAGAAGGGCTACATTTGATTGGTCAAATAATATTTCCGCTTAAAAAACAGAGCTGGTTTACAAAAAGTTGATGTATGACACGGATGGAAATGTTTGAACCAAACATTTATCGCCGTTTTTGACGTGCTTTGCGGTGGGCCTATCGCACGTCCTGTTATCGCGATGACGATAATTTTTCGATACATTGTGCAGCCCTACTATTTAGAATATTTATTATATATTATGTTCATATATTTTTAATATTTAGTTAGTTTAGTTGTTTTTGTATTTTTGATTCTATATATTTTGATACAGTATATAATGTATATTGCTTTACATTCTGACAACTTCATAGTAATTAATGTAAATATGTGCAACTTAGAAAAATGAATGTTCAATAGTCGTTCTAATAAAACATGCCTGTTTGTAGAAAACATGCATGTGTTTGTGCAGGTGGGGTGGTGTGGGGTGGTGGTGGGGGTGGGGGGGCTTAAAGGGGGACTCGCCCGGGGAGTAATTCCATGTAGAACCGCCACTGACCGGGTCGATGCTAAGACCGAACCGAGCAAGGTCAAATGTGAAGGCCCTATAGGTATCTCATGATCTTGTTCATTAGTGAGGAAACGGGAGGTCAACAGGCAGGTCGTGGTGATGATGAGGATGCTCCACCGGTCAGCAGTTAGAGGGAGCTAAGTCAGAAAGCAAATCTCTCAGTGTACCGTGTGATTTTCATTCCAATCATCACGCATAGACATGAACTGCATGCAATGACAGAAGAAACAAGATATCGAGTATAAGTGGCCAAAATGGGTTTTCACCCGACAGGTGTTTGTGCTCAGCAGGGGTGGCGTTAGGCCCGGCTACTTGGGCTGAAGCCCCGGATGTTTTATGAAAAGCCCCGGATCTAAATCGCGGAAGTAACATGCAGTACCAAAGTCCAACAGAGAGGGCGCAGCTGGCAGTAGTTTGTATACAGCCTGCCTGAGCCTCCACCACTGAAGAAGAAGCCCTTCAGCAGCCGACTTCTTCTACACTCTCTGCCTGAAACCATGAGTGAAGATGGAAATAAGGACATTTTTTAGACCAAAAGTACAACGACAGAACCCCAGCTTTGATGAGACTGGCGTTGACTCAGGTTTGTGAGTCTTATTTGAAAATATTTGTTGTGCTGCTGGTTTGCTTAAAGTTAGCTTACTATCAGGTAAAGTTGTTGGAGAAAGAAAGGGAATATTTACTATCATCTCACACTAAACACTAACAGGAACAATACTCTGCCCTGAACATGCTTAATATGTAGCTTCAGATTAAAAGTTATGTGGTACAAGACAAGTATCATCATCATCATCATCATCATCATCATCATCATCATCATCATCACCTTTATTTATAAAAGCACCTTACAAACACCTATCGTGTCACCAAGGTGCTGCACAAGACTAAACTAAAAAGATAAAAACAAAGAATATATAGGAACCCAATGAAAAAATTAAAAACAGCAAAATACAAAACATCAGTTAACACACAGATTTAAAAGCTAGATTATAATAATGGGTCTTCAGCGCCTTCTTAAAAACCTCTACTGACGTGAAGAGTCGCACAGATAATGGAAGATCATTCCATAATTTTGGGCCTGCTACCGAAAAAGCCCTGTCTCCTCTTGTTTTGAGCCTAATTGCGGCTCAAAATATATATGATATTGACTAGTGCGTGTCACGTGTGTGTGTGCGCGCGCGCGTGCATGTGTGTTTGTGTGTGTGTGCTAAGCCCCGGATCTTCTTCAGTCCTAAATCCGCCCCTGGTGCTCAGCCTTAGAGATAGGGTAAAGAGATACAGATTAGAGCCGCAGCTCCTCCACATCAAGAAGAGCCAGCTGAGGTGGTTTGGGCAGTTGGTGGAATTCCCCCACCATAAGGGGCATGTCCAGGAAGTGGCCTGCGGTAGCACATGCCACCCTTGGAATCTGAATGGCCACTCCAAGTGCCACCCCACTGAGTTCTGTTTAAGTTTACATGACATTGTCCATAGAGGGTTTGGGGTTTACAACCGCAAAATTGTGAGTGGCAGCATACACTTTAAACACTGGTTTCTAGTCCCAGGCCTACATAGCATTTCTGTATTCATTTATTATTTTTGAGGAGGAGGAGGAGGAGGAGGAGGAGGAGGAGAAGAAGAAGAAGAAGAAGAAGAAGAAGAAGAAGAAGAAGAGATGATACAATGTGGAGCTCACAAATTCACTACAATGCAAACAAAGATTTTTTGGAGGGGTGACTCAACCCCTTCTAAAAGAAAAATAGAAGAGAGCATAACCATAGTTGCCTAACCTTTAAAAAATAAAAGCCCCACCTGGACCACCCATTTAAAATGCCTGGACACCCCACTGCCCTGGAAGCCTCCAAGGGAAGGTGTTTCAGTCGTGTCTTGCTGGCAGCAGACCCCCAGGTCAATCTAGGACACATTGGACACATAGACCAGAGAATGCCTGTCATGGTCTGCGTCTGCGTCTCCCTCATGTGTCTCCTTGTGTTCTCCATCCCTCTCTAGGTTCTCCTTATGTGTCATCTAGCATCCTCATGTGTCTTTGTCTGCATCTTCGTCATGTGTTCCCTGATCTGCAGCCCCTCTAGGTTTTCCCCCTCCCCAGGAATCCCCCCAGGTCCGTTGCTCCCGTGGTCTCCCTTAGTCACACCTCTGTAGTTTTTCTTTCTGTAGTTTTTTTTCCTATAGATTCAGCTTTTCATTTATTAGTCTCTTTTAGTGTGCTTCTTTCTCCACTGGTTTTTTAGTTCTCCTCAGATCATTAGTTGTTTATCTTTATCTTCTTGTCTTCAGGTTTTGTTTTTACTCTTAGGTCAAGTTACTCTCCCCTCACAGATTAGTTCATTGTTTTCACTAAGTTCCTCTCCCCACACACATGCAGCTCATCGCCCTCTCATCCTTCCCCAGAGTATTTAACCCTGTCTACTTCTCTGTCTGTTGTCGGCCCATTGTCTTATGTCAGCGTTGTTTTGTCCCTCCATACTAGTCTCTAGGTCTCTGCTCAGTAAGTGAGCTTTTGGTTTAGGTCTGAGTTTAGTTATTAGGTTTTGGCTTCCTGCCCTTTTGGACTTTTTTGTTCCCCATCCAAATAAAAGGGATTTTACTTTACAAATCGCTCCTGCCTCGTGTCGTCTGGTGTTTCTGCATCTTGGGTCCTAACCTCCTCCTGCTCTCAACGTGACATATCCTGCTGGTGGAGCTAGTAGAGGTTTCCAGGGACAGGATTTGGCTCTCTCTGCTGAAGCTGCTACCCCCACAACCTGGACTGGAGTGGGTGAAAACTAAAGTTGGCAAATTTCAGTTATTAAGCTGCATGTATATGCTGGGAGGAAATGTTGTACGTGTGTGTGTGTTTGTGTGTGTGGGTGTACTTGTTAAACTATCCTGCTTAGGACCAAAACTGGCATATTCTCTAATCTTCAGACAACCGATTAGGACCAAAACCCAGGACCCCCTGTTTTAGGCTTAGGCGTGAGGTTTAGAGGTGAGATGTGAAAATAGTTTTTGTTACAGTTAGGTTAAGGAATACACTGGTTAGGGTTAGGGTGAGGTTACTAAAATGAATGCAAATGAATACAAATTCCTAATGTGGATAGAAAAACAAACTTGTGTGTGTGTGTGTGTGTGTGTGTGTGTGTGTGTGTGTGTGTGTGTGTGTGTGTGTGTGTGTGTGTGTGTGTGTGTGTGTGTGTGAGTGTGTGTGTGACTCACAGGTGTAGATGCTAGTCCAGAATCAGGACTGAGGTCCGCTGAGACAGCTGTCCGTGTGACTCCGAGTTCTGAATACTGGGATGAGTGGGATTTAGGAAAACTGCCACTGAGAGTGTTCACACCTGAAGAACTGATGGAGACAAATGAAAAGATTAATATGGTGCTTAACCACCTTTGCTTCCTGTTCTAATGGACTCTGGATGGGAATGTTTTAGTAATGTAAGCCCTGTGTGTGCTGAAACCCTGACCACCGGCCAAGCGGTTTGAGTTACAGTGAACTGGGCCTGACAATGCAGATTAGGACCCGTTGCCATGGCACCAGTGGACACCTGAGCAGCTGCTATTAGCTTATAATAGTCCCTGTACGCAGGTGATAGCTGAACATTTGTGCCTTTTTAATTAATACTGCGTTGTTTTGTTTCTGCTCTGCTGAACACACTTCATAGAGATGAACAGAAAATAAATATTATGTTTCGCCTGTTAAACAAGATAGATTCAGAAGGAACACCGGTGTTACGTTAGGGTTAGCTTACCTTTCTGACATGTCCCAATCTCCTTGTGGTAAATACTCCTAGTGTTTGTTAACACATCATGAATGGCTCGGTTTAGCACTGGAGCCCGGCAGCGGTTACCCATGGAGCCTGTTGTTTTATTAGTATTCAAGCTCAGAAAGTTAGCATCCCTTCAGCTGAATGGGCCACTGCTGTGTGCTGCTGAAGCCATGTGACACCGGTTGATAGCCGGAATGTCGGTTGCCTAGCAACATGCCTTCAGGAACACAGCTGTGTGTCACCACTGCATGACCCCGTATCAAAATGTATATTTCTAAGGACTTTGTAAAGCAATCTGCTCTGTGTTTGCGTATTGACAATGAAATACACCTGTGATTATGTTTTAGTTTTTCTGTCAAATTTAGAGCAAAACCTGCCACTGGAACAATTTGATCTCACCACCTTGTTTGTGTTTTTGTACAACGTTTTTTAACTATTCCAAGAAAATCTCAGTGCTAATTTCCTGATTTAGATCTTTAATACACTCGTTTCTGTCCTGAATTCAGTTGAACCCCCATAAAATGTTCGGGGGGGGGGGGGGGGGGGGGGTCAGCTAAGACCAGACATTTTTGGGCTGGCACACCAATTTCCTTTATTTTTCTTTCGTTAAAAAACAATATGGGTCCAATCCACTTGCCTTTTTTGAGGTGGCTCAGGCATCTGGTCAGGATGCCTCCCTGACACCTCCCTGGTGAGGTTTTCCAGTCACGTCCAAAAAGGAGTAGACCTAAGTGAAGACCCAGGACATGCTGGAGGGACTATGTTTCTAGGCAGGCCAGGCAACGCCTCTGGGTTCCCCTGGAGAACCTGGCCCAAGTGGGGAGAGGTAATTCTGGACCTCTCTACTTAAGCTGCTGCCCCTGCAACTTGACTCCACATAAGTAAAAATGAATGGATGGATTTGCCTCAAATTTGAGAAACACAAACAATTCAGAAAACATTTCAAACAATTATTTAAATTCTTATTTCAAAAAAGATTTTAGAAATTTGGAACAGTGTAATGCACCTGTTGCTGTCTTCACAAACGCTATGAAGATAAAATTTGCGGTTTAAAAAATTTGTTTAAAAAAGTTTTTATTAAAATTTTTTATTTACTAATTTCTCATTCTGCTGGGGGACTTTAACGCTCACGTGGGCAACAGTGTGACCTGGAGAGGTGTGACGGGGAGGAACGACCCCCTGATCTGAATTGGAGTGGTGTTTTGTCATTGGACTTATGTGCTTGACATGGATTTTCCACAATAAACACCATGTTCAGACATAAAGGTGTCCATATGTGCTCTTGGCACCAGGATACCTTACCCCGGGTTTCCACGGGAGCCGTCAGCAGCACGTTACTGCAGCAGCACGTCTTGCTCGCGTAAACTGCTGCTTGGCCCTTCCCATGAGACGCAAAGCAGCAGGGGAGCAGCTGTCACCGACAGAGCATGAAGTCACACGAGTGACTTCGTCAGTAAACACAACAACAAGCAGGAGAAAATTACAACATGGTTTGTGTTTTATGTTCTGTCCGTTTTATAATCGCCAATACGGACCTGAAAAACAACGGAGACCGCCAGCTATGTGATAACTTCTCACGGGGACGCACAGTTAGTAACCTTTTTTAAAAGCAAAGCAACCGGAAGGCAATACGTTCTTTATTCTGAAAATCTCGGTAGCTTCTCTCCATTTCCGCGTCCGATTTCCTGTCTTTCCTTCCCCAAAAATGTCGAACTTGACCCGTGCTTGTAGATGAAAATGTCCGGCTTTTCATCCAGGAGCAGGGATCGAATTATGGGGGACCTGGATATCCTACACACCCAGGGGAGCCAGAAAAAAAGTTTTTTTTACCTATATTACATCATTCATGGACTCTTTTGAGCAGAGAGCGATGATCGTTGGTGCGCGGCGCTCCTGTCTGCTGCGTCCAGCGCACGGTCCATTCTCAAAGCGGCGCAACCAAAAAACTATAATTAGCACCCGATCGTTCATGTCCGCACATGTTCTCTACTTTCTGTCTTATTTGTGCCTGAAGCCTCTGCTACTGCGGAGCTCATCACCTGTGCTGCGGTGATTTCACCTCACTGACGCAGCATCGAAACGCGCTCTCCACTTTGTGGTCAGGAGATCCCTTTGATTTGCTCAAAAGTAACTGATGAGGTGAAAAAGTAAGAATCCAGGCAGCAGATTTTCTGGAGAGTTTAGAGGAGATGCAGGAAGATGAGAGACAGACAGGACAGGAAATAGTAAAATACAAACAAGAAAACAAAACAAAGTGTTGAAAAGTAAAATGTAGGTAGATTTATCTCCACTACACGTTTTTACCTGTATAAAGCAATAAGTTATACACACGTCATATTTATACATCTGATACAGTTCAGATCACCTTCAAAACTCAGTCACACGCCCAGGGCCGTTTCAAGAAATTTTGGGGGCCAAGGCCATTGATCCAATCGTCTAATCACACAGCTGAAACAATCATCCTTAATAATCTGTGCACAGGAAGTTTACTGATGCTGTAGTAAAACAAAAGGTATAATAATTTATTATTAATAGCACTACTATTATTATTGCAGTACTAAAGCAGAAAAATGAGATTTTGCTATAAACATGCTAAATATTTACATATGAATTGTTTTGGAGCCCTTTTATTGGCAGAATCTGATATTAATTTAGTTCTAACAAAAAAAAAGGGTCCCAACGTGGTTTTGTGTGGCGTTGCCATAGTGTGACGTCATAGGCACAGATCCCCTGTCCTCTTGTTTGGAAATGGAAATATGATCACCCTACATTAAACAAACTGTCCACCCGGGCTTTTGCGCTGCACAGAGACGCTTCGCTGCCTATGACTTTGAACGTCAGTTGAGAGTCAGTCTCATGCAGACTGACCAATGAAGAGAGGGCCTCAAGTTAAGACCCTCTCCTCATTGGTCAGTCCACACAAGGTGTGTCAAAGGTTACCCTGAGCGGGTTACGTGATGTCAGGCATTCAAGTATTGAGTATATTTACTACATATTACAGTAATATATTCTGTATGTGACCATATTATGGTGATCCTTGGGTCGTGATGATGGGGCCCTTGAATATTGTTGCCCAGGGTACAACAAAGTGTTAATCTGGCCCTGACTCCAGAGGAAGCTGATGGGTAACTGCAGGGCAAGCGGAATGCAACCCGAGTGGTCAGAGGCAAAAACCCAGGCGTGGGAGGAGTTCGAGGTTATTCTGGTCCACCATCTGGCGCAACAGGAGGGGAAAGCAGCGCCCTACCAATACTGTTTACAGTGGGGATGTGTGCCACTTACCTTGACTTGGGACGTTGTGAATTGGTGGGCAGACTACTCCGAAGACCTCCTCAAGCCCACCGGCACATCTTCCAGTAAGGAAGCAGAGTCCAGAGACTTTGGGTTGGGCTCTCCAATCTCTGCTGCTGAAGTCACTGAGGTGGTCAAAATGCTCCTCGGTGGCAAGACTGTGGGTGGGGATGAGATCTGCCCAGAGTTCCTTAAGGCTCTGGATGTTGCAGGGTTGTGTTGGCTGATGCGGCTCTGCAATATCACATGGACATCAGGGGCAGTTCCACTGGATTGGCAGACCAGGTTGGTGATTCCCCTATTGAAAAAGGGGACCACAGGATGGGTTCCAGCTACAGAAGGGATCACACTCCTGAGTCTCCCTGGTAAAGTCTATTCAGGGTTTCTGGAAAGGAGGGTCTGACATATTGTCGAACCTCAGATTCAGGAAGAGAAATGTGGTTTTCATCCTGGCCATAGAGCACTGGACCAGCTCTATAACCAAGTGGAGGAGTTTAAGTATCTCAGGGTTTTGTTCACGAGTGAGGGAAAGATGGAGCTTGAGATCGACAGGTGAATTGGTGCTGCGTCTGCAGTGGTGCGGGCATTGTACCAGTCTGTCATGGTGAAGAGAGAGCTGAGCCGGAAGGCAAAGCTCTCGATTTACTGGTCAATCTATGTTTCAACCCCCATCTATGTTCACAAACTTTGGGAAGTGACCAAAAGAACGAGATTGCAGATACAAGCAGCCAAAATTAGTTTTCTCTGCAGGGTAGCTGGGCTCTCTCTTAGAGATAGGGTGAGAAGCTTGGTTATCTGGGACGGGCTCAGAGTGGACCCACTGCTCCTCCACGTTGAGAGGAGCCAGTGGAGGTGGCTCAGGCATCTAGTTAGGATACCTCCTGGACGCCTCCCTGGTGAGGTTTTCTGGGCACGTCCAACCAGAAGAAAACCGCACATTTTGCAGCATTTGTTCCGCTTTGCTTGGTAGTAATATTGCAGTAATTGTCCGTCATAAATGGCAACTGTGCCTTGGCGCAACGGAGGGAAGTATCATGATGACGTGGGAAGTTACTACCGAGATCCAACTGGAAACTATATTGAAAATCAAAGTAAACACGGGCTGCAAGTGCTACAGCACTCCTGGAGCTTCTCTCTGTTAGAGCTGGAGGTCAGATCACCAGAGATTGCATGGGGACTGTGGGGGATAGACATCTTTTAAAGCAACTTAATGAGCACAGCTTCATTTGCAAAAAAAAGAAAGTTATGTCCAAAACAAACAGAAGTCCGCAACAGCGCAAGGACCGCCCCCATACCCTCTTTATGCCATCATCGCGTAATCTTTTGTGAAAAGGACACCACATTACCACCACGGTCTGACTACTTATAAACGACTTAAGGCTCCCTGATGCCGTCATGACGTTTGCTAAAATGGCTTATGTCTCTCAGCTGGCCAGAACGCCTTACGATTCCCCCAAAGTAGCTGGCCCAAGTGGCTGGGGAGAGGGAAGTCTGGGCCTCCCTGCTTAGGCCACTGCCCCCACGACCCAACCCTGAATAAGCGGCTGAAAATGGATGGGTGGTTCAATCAGACAGATTTATGGTTCGTGTGAATATTTATGATTTATTAAAGGACACTCATCTTCCTTGGGGTGTCCAGCAGTTTTTTGCTACCCCTTGGAGACACCACTGCTTGAATTTATAAGTGATTTAATGTAATTTACCATAACAGGAAATTTCATCAGCCTATTGTAGCAATACGTGAACAACCCTGCCATATTGGTAGGGGAGACGCCAACCATTAAAATGATTTAGATTAATGTGGATACTGAAAATTTTAACACAATTAGAGTGGTTTAAAATTTATAGTTCACAAATACATTGATTTAAAATGAACAGAAAACTGTAAAAAAAAAGTGAATAATTTTAGTATGATTTTGTGAATAGATTTACAATATTATCAACCTATTTATGCAAAATACAGTTTAACTTCATTTAGTAATATTTCACAGTGCTTTTAGTGATTTGTAAAAAAAAAAAAAAACAATTACTCCTCCCAAAAAAATAACATTTGTCCATTTGGACAGTTTTTCCCTTGTTGTTTAGATGCCATTTTAGCATCGTTTGTGCAAATGGCATAAAATTTTGTAGCAAAACCTGTCTCTTGACAAATTTTGAAATTCAATTTGGAAATTGGAAAAAAGACCAAGGGATCCACTATGAAAAAAAAAACACCACCCTCTTGTGACCTTTGAGGACAAAAACATCCACATGTAAAAGTGGCTATAAAATCCTTATACATTTATATTTCTTTAGGCTTTTTTTGAGTTATGTTAAACAACTTCAGCCCTGCTCAAACCTGTAAAAACTTGGCCATTTTGAGGATTTTAACCCTTCAAATTTTAGTTTGATTACTCAATGTCATATCTGGAATTTATTTAAAAAAAAATCAGTTATTTTCCAAAAAAAAAAACCCTTTTCTTCCTAGGGTATTTATTAGAAATCAGTCTTAGTTATGTTATGAAATATTTGAAAATGTAAAACTTTTGCTTCAATTGTTTTTGCGTAGCAGCAGATTTAAGCTTTACCATCCTCGTATGACTATCGAGGCAAAACACGTCCCATTGACTTCCATTCAAACCACAATTTTTGATTCTGTAACATCTGTAAAAAAAAAATCATGCATCCTGTGATTTTTACCTTTTTTTTTGCTAAAAATGCAATAAAATAAAACAAAGTAAAAACAAATCTTCAAACAGAAAATAATTGAAACAATGGATGGATTACACAGAATGAAAGTACAAATGTTTATTAGAGTTTTATTTTGGAGAAAAGTAGTCAAATTGGCAAATAGATCTTTTGATTTAGAAGGGTTAAAATTATAAAATGGCTGAAGTTTTTTTTTAGATTTGAATAGGACTGAAGTGGTTTTACAGATTTATGAAACAAAAAGTAAAAAATATGAATGTATAAATTGTTTACAGCCACTTTTACGAGCGGATGTTTTTGTCCTTTAAGGACACAAGAGGTAGTAGATTTAAGTGAAACCTGAAGGTTAAGTAAGTGAACATGAATTACTTCCTGCCTCTGTAAAACGGTAAACCTGCAGTACTTTTTTATGAAAGTCATATGTAGTTCCTGTTGGGTACAATTATTGGGGAGGAGGAAGGATGAACGTTGTGCACATAATGAGACCATAAGGCACAGATATTACACCAGCTGGAGGAAGTCATTTAGATTATAAATAACCTCCTCATGAGCTGTTGCTCCTCGGTGACATAGCTAATCCAGACTGGAGACATTTAAAGCTAACGGTTTATTTTTTTTCATGAACTGATTTAAAAATGAATGAAAATTTAAGCCAACTGCTAATCTTCCTTTAGCTGAATGAACCGTCTTTCCAATTAACTTTAGGTCTAAAGATGAGCATCCAGAATGCTGTTTTACTTTGTGCATGGTTAAAAAAAAAAAGTTAATACTTGCTTGTTTTCAGCTGCATGTCTTTGCATTTCTAACAACTAGGTGATACAGACTTGAATTTACTCCACATAACATTTGGCAGGAAATGATCAGTCCTGGCAAAATGAGTTCCACATGGAGAGCCAGCTTCTGCCATGCTTACTGTCTTTTATTATTCTGGTGCTCCTTACAAACACAGATTGTGTTTATCAGTCAAAATTAAACCATTTTTCTTGAAGAACCCAGCTCAGGCATATGTTAGAATGTCCACTGCAACTTATTTTCTTGTTTTTTCAAGCCCCCCCCCAAAAAAGCTGGAACGTATTTTATAACCATTTTTAAAACAAACTCTTCACAAACACAGTCGGACTTATGTATTTTAATGGCAACACATTCATGTTTTATCCAGTAAAAGAATCATTACAGCTGGTGTTACTGTTTCTACATCCACAACTCGTCCTCAGCACACCTGCAGTCTGCAGTCCGTCTCTATGGCAACCTGCCCTAGTTACTCACTTATAGGACGCCTAGCTGGGGCTTTGCCAACCACCCAGATATGATAAGGCATAATAATTCATCAGTGGTTAATTCATATGACTGAAAAAAACATCTCAATAATGTCAGAATTTAACTAAGGTTCACTGCATGAGGAAGAAAAAGTTTGCACAATCTGCAAAACATTCTAAATTCTGAATATATATATATATATATATATATATATATATATATATATATATAACAGTGCTGCGTGATGGCGCAGTTGTTATCACTGTTGTCTCGCAGCACGAAGGTTGCAGGTTCAAAACTCGGAAGCGGCCTTTCTGCGTGGAGTTGCGTGTTCTGCCCATGCATGCATGGGTTTCCTCCGGGTACTCCGGTTTCCCCCACAGATCACAACATGCCCTATAGGTTAACAATTGTAAGTCGCTTTGGATAACAGCATCTGCCAAATAAATAAACATAAACACACTCACTGGCCACTTTATTGGGTACATCTTGCTAGTACTGGGTTGGGCCCTCTTTTGCCTTCCGAGCTGCCGTAATCCTTCATGGCATAGATTCAACAAAGTATTGGAAACATTCCTCAGAGACTTTGGTCCATATTGACATGATAGCATCGTGCAGTTGCTGCAGATTTGTCAGCTGCGCATCCATGATGCAAATCTCTTGTTCCACCACATCCCAAAGGTGCTCTATTGGATTGAGATCTGGTGACTGTGGAGGCCATTTGAGTACAGGGAACTCATTGTCAAGTTCAAGAAACCAGTCTGAGATGATTCCAGCTTTGTGACATGGTGCATTATCCTGCTGGAAGTAGCCATCAGAAGATGGGTACACTGTTGTCATAAAGGGATGGACATGGACAGCAACAATACTCAGGTAGACTGTGGCATTGCAACGATGATCTCAACTACTCAATTTTGGTGAGCCTGTGTGAATTGTAGCCTCAGGTTCCTGTTCTTAGCTGACAAGAGTTGTAGCCGGTGTGGTCTTTTGCTGCTGTAGCCCATCTGCCTCCAGGTTAGACGTGTTGTGCCTTCAGAGATGCTCTTCTGCATACCTTGGTAATAACGAGTCGTTATTTGAGTTACTGTTGCCTTTCTAACAGCTCGAACCAGTTTGGCCATTCTCCTCTGACCTTTGGCATCAAGAAGGTATTTTTGCCAACAGAACTGCCACTCATCAGATTTTTTTCTAATTTCTCTGTAAACCCTACAAATGGTTGTGCGTAACAATCCCAGAAGTTCAGCTGTTTCTGAAATACTCAGAACAGGCGTAATAAATAAAGTGACCAGTGAGTGTGTGTGTGTGTGTATATATATATATATATATATATATATATATATATATATATATATATATATATATATATATATATATATATATATATATATATATATATATATATATATATATATATATATATATATAAAGAGCAGCTTTTTGGTGATTTCTACATTCAATTCAATTCAAAAATACTTTATTAATCCCAGAGGGAAATTGATTTCTACATGTTGGGACGTGTGAGTTAAGAAGCTGCTGAGCCGAACTTAAAGGTGTTGTGCGTGGATGTTACACTGTATGTTCCGTTTACTCATACAAATCCTACACTTATAGTGAATATTTACAACTTCTGACGTCATGTCTGTGTCTGAGAATTTAAAGCTTCCAGTATAAAAACACAGTCACATTAAGAGTTGTATGTCATGTTTCAGTATATAATATATCTTTTAGTATTTGGCTAATAAATATATGTATATATATATATATATATATATATATATATATATATATATATATATATATATATATATATATATATATATATATATATATATATATATGTGTGTGTGTGTGTGTGTATATACTTTGTAAGGAGTATAAAACAGCTGAAGATGGTGAAAGAACAGGTAGCTTTTATGAGGTGAGGATTAGATTTTTTAAGACCGACAGGCTTGAAGTTGCATTCACATGGAGTCAAAGTCTTGGTCATTGAGCTCGATGACTTCGGGGGTCATGACCCGGCCCATGAAGAGGATGGATCCTGGAAGAAAAGGACAAACGGATACACACACGTGTAAGTATTACTCAGGCAAATGGCTACACAAAGCCTTTTATAACAAATAACACACTGCCCGGCACCAAAAAAAGTCGCCACCTGGATTTAACTAAATGAATAAGTGCAAGCCTCCTGTTGGGTAACTACTGCACTGACTGGCAACAAGTTATATTTAACCCCAACTGGTGCAACGAGTTGCTTCAAATTTGTTAAACAATCATGTTGAAAAACACATCTCGTTGTTGGGGAAAATATGTTAGGCCCAACTTATAGTTCTCCATCAGCTCGATTGTGGATTTTCACTCAAGCACTGATGGAGATGTTTTCTCTTTGGACTTCTCTGTCACCTGGGGAGAGCTGCAAAGCAATTTGCTGATAGGACAACAGAGGGCATAGCCCTTTTCTGGGGTATCCCGCCATCATTACAGTCACGTATCCAGTCCAAGATGGTGTATTTACTATTGTGAATACACTGATTGAATGTATTTCAGAAACCTTTTTTAATGAATAAATTTGTTCCTCTTTCTCCTCCACCTCTTCATGCAATCTGCACCTCTAATGCCACGTTTCTTGTCATTTCCATCCACGAATAAAACGCCTGCTGCGTATCTTTGTACTCCGTCAGTCACGAGTGAATAAATGTTCATATTTTCTGATTTTTCCGTGAGGCATTCTTCAATCTTTTCCCTGTCTGCTGCTAGATATCTTTGTATTTTTGAAGGGGAAATTCAATTCAATTCAAGTTTATGTATATAGCGCCAAATCACGACAAGAGTCGTCTCAAGGCACTTCACATAATAAACATTCCAATTCAGGTCAGTTCATTAAGCCAATCAGAAATAATGTTTCCTATATAAGGAACCCAGCAAATTGCATCAAGTCAAACAACAATGGCGGTGCTGTTGATGAATTTAAAGGAAGCAGCGTCCTGAACATTCACAGGGTTGCAGCCTCTGTCACTTTCAACACAGTTAAAAGTTGGGCATGTCTCCGTCTGCCTCTGCGAGCCCGCCCGAGAGCCCTTGCATGATGCATAATGGTGTTGCGTTTCCCTGTACCGACACAGATGGAGAGGTAAAAATTGGGCTTTAGCCTATTTGAGAAGGGTGAAATAGGCTTCTCAAAATTTGCAAGACGTAAGGAAGATGTATGGAAGAAAAGAAAGAAAATAATCTTTTCTATAGCGCCCCTAGAGATAAAAATCACGAGGTGCTTCACAAGAACAAAAAATTCAAAATATAAAAAATATTTAAAAAAAGATTAAAATATGGTTAAAAAGAGAAAAAAATTGATTAAAAATGTAAGGAAAGGTAAAGAGGGAAATCAGTGGATCCAGGGAAAGGCAAAGTTGAAAGAGCAGAATAAGGAGAGGGTGATGAAGGTCACAGCAAATCCAGCCTGAATAGGTGAGTTTTCAGCTGCTCTTTAAAGGAGACCACTGAGTCCACTGATCTCAGGCTCAGGGGGAGAGAGTTCCAGAGTCTGGGGGCCGCAGCAGCAAATGATCTGTCACCTTTGGTCTTTAGCCTGGTGCTGCACAACCAGTAGGCTTTGATCACTGGACCTCAGGGACCTGCTGGGGGTGTAGGGACAAGAAGATCACCAATGTAAGATGGTGCTTGTCCATGTAAGGCCCTATAGACCAGAACCAGGATCTTGAAATGAACCCTGAAGTTGACTGGCAGCCAATGAAGCTGGAGGAGAAGCGGGGTGATGTGGGTGTTTGGAGGACTTGGTCAGAAACCGAGCACAAGCATTCTGAACCACCTGTAGATGGTTCAGGGAGGTTCTGCTCAGACACGTGAAAAGAGAGTTACAGTAGTCTAAGTGTGAGGAGATGAAGGTATGGATAACTGTCTCAAGTTCAGAGCGGGACAGAATGGGACTCAGCTTAGCAATGTTCCTGAGATGGAAGAAGGAAGAGCGAACAAGAGAACTGACATGAGAATCCAGGGTGAGAGCTGGGTCAAAGGTCACACCAAGATTCCTGACAGAGGGTTTGGTGTGGGAAGCAAGCTGACCAAGAGAGTCTCTGACTTTGGGAACCAGCTTGTCTGGAACACCGATGAGGATCTTAGTCTTATCTTCATTCAGCTGTAGAAAGCTCCCAGCCATCCAGGTTTTGATAGAGTCTAAGCAGGTGTGTAACAGCTGCAGCTTAGACATCTCATGGGACTTAAAGGAGATGTACAGTTGGATGTCATCTGTGTAAAGAAGGTAGGAGATTCCTTTAAAACAGAAGGAGCAGAAGAGGAGGAAAGGTAGTAGCTCCAGTACAGAACCTTGTGGGACACCATGAGTGAGGGAGGTGGTGGAGGACCGAAACTTGAAGACGGCCACAGAGAAGGGACACTCAGACAGATGTCAGGAGAACCACTCCAGAACAGATCCTGATAGGCCTACCCAGTCTCTCAGCCTCTCCAGTAGCAGGTGATGGTCAACAGTGTCAAATGCTGCAGTCAGGTCCAGCAAGACCAGAACAGAACAGTCCCCTGCAGGGAATAAAGCCCGCAACAAAACACACTGACAATTTATTCTCATGTGCAACAGAGACGATACTGCTGATGGTGTTAAACAGCACCTTGGGGTTCTCTTAGCTCTGGGACACCAGGTTGGACAAATAGGCAACCCTCGCGTGTCTGACTGCAGTTACCTGCAAATGCTGTTGCTAAACCAAGGAGTAGGGTTTACTGCAAAACTGATCTGGAACTGACAGGACAGATGTTGTCTAGAATGAAGATACAGTGCTCATTAAAGTGAGTAGTTAAGGTATCTGGGTCATTGTCAGAAGAACAGCGTATAAGAAGGCTGAGGACTAGTGAGTGTGAAAGCCACTGTCCGTGATGAAACATCCAAGATCCATAAGTATGGCAAGGATAAGGCCCCAACAGATGATGTGCTCAGTGAATGTCTCAGACAATGGCGAACAGAGGAGGAGACGCTGGAAATAACCTACCATCATGGGAGGATAAACACCTACATGGGATGTACGGCCAACAGATAACTGAATTGGCCAATATCAAGAAATCCTACCAGCGGCTAGAAAGAGTTGGTCTGAAGGACAGCACAGAGGCACTCATGGATGCACAGGAACAGGCCCTGAACACCAGAGCAGCAGAGGCAAGATCTACCACACCAGACAAGACCCAAGGTGTAGGCTATGCAAAGAGGCCCCTGAGACAATCCACTGCATAACTTCAAGGTGTAAGATGCTGGCATGGAAAGCATTCATGGAACACCACAACCAAGTGGCTGGCATCGTGTACAGAAACATCTGTGCAGAGTATGGACTGGAAGCCCCAAGGTCAAACTGGGTAACACCACCTATGGTGGTAGAGAACAAGAGAGCCAAGCTCCTATGGGACATCCAGATCCAGACTGACAAAATGGTGATAGTGAACCAACCGGATATTGTGGTGGTGGACAAACAACAGAAAACAGCTGTTGTGGTTGATATAGTAATAGTAATGGCAACATTAGGAAAAAGGGGAACACGAGAAATTAAAGAAGTACCAGGACCTCAAAGAATAACTCGAGAAAACCTGGAGAGAGAAGACATCAGTGGTGCCCGTGGTCGTCGGGGCACTCGGGGCAGTAACCCCAGACTGGAGGAGTGGCTAAAGCAGATCCCAGGAGAAGCATCAGACATCTCAGTCCAGGAAAGCACAGTTCTAGGAACAGCTAAGATAATGCCCAGAACCCTCGAGCTCTGTAATTAACATCTGTATGTAAGCAGATGTCTGAGGCTATTGGCTAATGCTGAATGGGTTTAACATAAAATTGATGTATTACCTACAATACAGTATACCACAGTACAGAGTCAGATTATGACCTTAACGGATTTCTATAAAATCATGCATAATTCTTTAAAAAGGAGAAAAACTCATGATTTCCCCTTTAATAAACACACAACTAGCTATAACTATTTCAACTTGATTGATATTGAGCTAAAATGTGTTTTTCTAGAAGTTAAAATCAGCCTCAACACGTCTTTTAGCTCTGAGATCAGTCGTGTTCCCTAACTGTTTTTGTAATGTTGCATGAGATGGCACGGCCAAAACTGTCATAAATTAATTGTTTCTCCACATAAGATCATCTACATGTAGAGCCCTGGCATGAAAGAATGGACAACATGTACTCCTCTATAGAACGCTTCACCTCCTACAAACACACCTGTCCTTCTGTTTCTGACGACAAAGAAGAATGGGTGATCTGCCATGACCTGTGGGTACAGCACCAGAGTCCTGGTCAGGGCAATCATTCCTGAAACAGAATAATACAGACGGGAATTGAGTTCTTATCGTTTCTAGCTGTGGATGGAAAACAAATGTTACGCTTTTAGGAAAAAGGAGGTGTACCAGATCCAACGGCTCCCTCTGCCCCCTCCTCCGTCACCTCCAGGTAAGCCTTCTGCACTGCCTTCCCAATGTACAGATCCTTACCATCTGTACGACACACATGGAGACATTCATCACCTTGTTCTTTTTATATTTTTACAATGCACATAAAACATGAGTGAGTTAATCACGCTGACTAATTTCTATGAGTAAGATGTCTGCTACTGATCACTCATTAGTGAAACCAACACTAAAGGAGACAGATGGAACACGTCAAGCAACACTTCCTGATGACACGAACGAACAAAAAACTACAATTCTTCCAGGTTGTTCTCAACACTCATCTTTTATGAAACATATTTGCTGCTTTAGATGTGAAAGATTTGAATGCATTCCTCAGACTCTGTCTTTACAGATTTCTCTCTGAGGGTCTATTTTTAATATTTGATGTGACAGCACCAACCTTCTCACTCAACGCCAGTTACCTTGGTAACCTTAGAAAGCACAGACAGCTATTTTTTCCTGGCAAGGAGGAGATTAGATGTCACCCCGAAGCTTTTTGGGAGCTTATTTGTTCACATCTGTGTGTGTGTGTGTGTGTGTGTTATAAGAACTGACAGGTGAGTGCTGTACAGTACGTGTCAGCATTTTGCCGTGTTTGTTACGAACTGTGCGTCACCTGTCATGGCGGAGAGATCCGCATCGCTGGTGAATATTTTTTGAATTCCCAGCTCCTGCAGAGTGCTCCTCAGGTCAAGCTTCTGCTCCACCTTGAACCTGAAACACAATCCTAGTTAATCAAGAATCAGAAGAGATTATTCATATACTACAGATCCATTCCACGCTCCAATTAGAACTGAATGTAAATGTTGAACTGTAAAATATGTGAAAGCCGAAGAGTCGTTTTGAATTGAATTGGTTTTCTGAAAATGAGGCATGAAGAAGCAGATCACCAACTACTTACCTTGGCAGATATACTTCCACCTTCTGCCGTTTGACATTGTTGGCCCACTCCTCCAGGAGGGGCGCTTTGATGATGGGCTCCAGAGAAGACAGAGGCACCTCCTGCCGAGGCAGCACGATCATCATGGACATATCCTCTCCCTCATATGGCATCTCTAACACTTGGTACACGCCACCGGCCTCCTGGGACCCGTCACTAAACTCGCCTGTTAGAAACAAAAAACAACCAACAGCAGTGAAAGGTAGAGTATGTACATGTATACTGGATAAGATAGGATAGCTTAATTCAGTGGTTCCCAAACTTATTTAGCCGCGCACCCCCTTCTATATCCCGACCATGTCGACGCACCCCCCCCCCCCACACACACACACACACATCACGGCATGGCTATAGATAGATAGATAGATAGATAGATAGATAGATAGATAGATAGATAGATAGATAGATAGATAGATAGATAGATAGATAGATATCAGACGTCAAGCTAAACAGACAGGGTTAAAAAAATATGATCGACCTTTTTCCCCATCACTTTCATTTTTTAAATAGTAATTAATAAGCATTCGATACCATTACAATTTCCTTTGATTTAATTTCAAATAAATATTTAGAGTGCCCAGGTAGCACATCAACAATGAAATTTAACGGTTTTCTTAAAGTAGGAACGTTTAACCTGTGCAGCCAGAGCGCTCTCCTTCCTTCTGCTCTGCGTAAACCTGAACTGGCCACCTACTTGTGCGTAATCAAATGTCTATAGGGGAAAAGATATAGCCATGAGGTTCACTTTTGCCTCAGACCGACTTATTGCTGTTTTATGGTGTGGCTGAATCTGCGATCCGCTGCCACGCGGACAAGAATAACAAATGCTGCAGGTTCGGAGTCACTGGCTGGAGCGGACCCGACTTTAATACATCATCCCAAAATAGAAGCTAATATCTTAATTTGACCTGGAATGAAAAATGTTGTTATAAAACCTCTTAAAAGTTTTTATCACAGAGGAGGCAGAGCTCATTTCTGCCTTCAGTCTGACGGTATCAGTCTGGCGCGCCGGAGTTTGCGCAGCGTGCACTTATTGAATCTGTGTGTGTGTGTGTGTGTGCGCGCGCGCGCGGCACAGCTCCACGAAGCTTGGTTTATGCTTGACGCATTCACTTTCCGCTTGGTGATGCGTCTCGCGGATGGAACGCGCTTCACAACTTGCAGCGTTTAAGTCACTGTGTCTCGTTAATGGCGCTATTTAAACCAATGTTGTAAAATGACTTCTGCCCAGCCCAGATGTGCTCACTTGTGCACCCGTGAGCCGTGGTTCCGGAACGCGTCTGACCTCTGACAGACGCACTCTAAACTTCAGATCTTCAGCGCGTGTGAGGTTTACAATGTCAGAACACCTGCATGAGACAGGTGTTAATTACAATCTGCCAGAATGACTCACCACCTTCAGATTTCTCCAACACCGTTAAAAATGATCAAATACGGAACATATCGGCGTGCGCAGGCCAGAGTGCTGAAGCTCGGCGCATTGTTATTATGAGGTTAGGGCACATGTGGAGGACACACACACACACACACACACAAGTAAAATATACTTGTTTTCAATTACATTTATTGGGCCCACTTACTTTTTCTTTGGCCCACCCACAAATGAGTTTTCTGGCTACGCTAATGGTGACACCTGACAGACTTCTCTGAGCTCCGCAGCCATTACACTTTTCATCTCGCGCACCCCCTAGCGGCAGCTCGCGCACCCCCTAGCGGCAGCTCGCGCACCCCCGGGGGTGCGCGCACCACACTTTGGGAATCCCTGGCTTAATTTATCATTTCAGTAAAACCTTTCCAAGATCAGACATACAGCACATAAAACACGCAAACAGGACAATGGTTGACTGTGGTCATGCAGCCATCATGGGGCTCCCATTATGTAGATAAAGAAATGGGTGACACAAGGGTGGGGAGGGATGAGGGAGGAAAAAAAAACATTTGCCCCCACTCTACCACCTACAGGGCACGGAGCTGACTTGCAGAAAAAACCCCACCAACATAAAAGCACATATTCAGACAGTCACAACATCATCCAACGTGTAGTGGGTGGGAGGGGTGGGAATCCCCATGCACCTGAGGGAGGCCACAGCCATGTATCAGCGTGACCTTCAGCCTCTGCTGGCCAGGAGCAGGAGGAAAGTTCAGGGGAGGAGGAGAGCATCGAGTCCATGAGATGTTGTGTGTTCATACTTGTGTGTATGAGGCTGTGAGCAGGTCTAAGGCTGCTCAGTCATGGAAAAAATATGTAATTAATGTTAACGATCAATATTGTTATTCAGGTCATGTGCTGATAATGATCATCTCTAGAGGTTACTGTACCTTTTAATGTGATATTTTACTTGTTTTTTGAGGCAGCTTCCAAATGGAAATTTAACACCTTTGCACATTTTCTGATGTTATAAAAAGAAGTTAACGTAAACAAAGTGTTCATCAAACGCTCTTCCAAGGTTTTGTCCTTATTTTGCAGGAACAGATCTCTATAAATGCTCCAAACATGAAAATAAATAAATAAAAATAAAAAAGCATCTATCAGTTTTCTTTCAGTGTTTTAGGTATTATGAGCAATAAACAAGCCAATTAAAAAAGTCACTGTTTGTGATATCACAAACGGGGAAATAGAATAGAACCAATTCTCACATGCAAGAGGTTTGCTGCTGGAGGAACAGCGGCTCCACTCACACTCGGCGTATATCGGAGCTTCTCAGCTCATAGTAGCCTGAGCAGAGGACGGGTGGGCATGGCCAGCTCCAGCTTATTTTCTTAAAGTGACAGAGCACTGAAATGGCTCGAGAATAAAACTGCTGAAATGACTATGTGTGAGGGGTTTTATGCAAAGAATGTCATGAGCATGTTTTGTTTCGATCATAAAACTATTATAATTTAAGAAAAAAGAGCCATAATATGTCTTTGAACCCTCCTGCTTTATGTTGAAGGGTTTTCAGTAGTAAAAATGCCGATACAACACCGTTTTTCATAGCTCAACACAAGCAGCTTGACATGAGCAAAAAGTGGCCTGAATCAAAATAGGAATAGCAAAGGTTTATGCAAGTAAGGGAAGTTTTATAGAAGCAGAAAACGGAGCTTACTGAGCAGAAAAGCAGAATAACACGCCACGAATATGAATATTTCAGAACTAAGATTAACATTTCAAATAACCCCTGGGAACAGTAGCCAAACACAAACTCCAGATAAAGAGCTACTAGTACAATTCTGCAGGCATACACCAAGCACGCGCGCGCACACACACACACACACACACACACACACACACACACACACACACACACACACACACACACACACACACACACACACACACACACACACACACACACACACACACACACACACACACACACACACACACACACACACACACACACACACACCACTGTACCGTAGTAGAAGTCTCCCTGCTGATACATCATGAGGGTCTGAACCTCAGAGCCATCGTCTCTGCTGAAGGAAAAGGTCCTGGTATTCTCTGGCCTGAATTGATTTTTCCAAGAACCTCGGAAGTAGACGGCGTTCACTAGAGTCAAGCGGATCACGCTGGTGAAGTCCTCCGCGGACAGCAGAGCACAGATCTTACCTGTACAGAGAAATGCTGACAGCATTAGATTTACTTATCTGGTGTGAAAATAACACAGGTTGGTGCGTTTGAGTGATGAGAATGTGTTAATGTTTTCCAACTCACTCTCCGTATGATTCTCCACCCAGCTGTTAATCCGCTCGGCAACCGCCGCCGAGTCGCTGAAGTCCACCGTTTCCACCTGCGCTCGGAAGAATTTCTTGATCAGATGCAGAAACTCGGGGTTAAAGCTGGCGTCCTCCTGCAGGAAGAGACTGTTGGCCAACCGGATCACGTGGTGGGCATCGTCATCGGAAAGTGCCTCGGTCAGGTTCTGGAGCAAAGAAAACTCCACACCTGGAAAGCAAAAACATATTCATCAGAATCAACTTAATTGGCACAGGAGTTAAGAGCTCCCCCCTTAATCGGAAGGATGCAGGTTCGAGCTCTGCTCAGTCTATCACTGTCGTTGTGTCCTTGGGCAAGACACTTAGCCCCCCTTTCCTCCTGGTGGTGGTCGGAGGGACTGGTGGTGCCAGGGTTCGGCACGCCTCGCCTCTGTCAGTGCGCCTCAGGGCAGCTGTGGCTACATCGTAGCTCACCCCCACCAGGGTGTGAATGTGTGTGTGAATGGGTGAATGACTGATTGTGTTGTAAAGCACTTTGTGGGGTTCCAGGACTCTAGAACAGTGGTTCCCAACCTTTTTCCCAAGGGACCCCGTTTTTTTTTACCAGTAAAATTTTTGATGACCCCCTCCCATTCTCTCTTCCAGTACAAACATTATTAAGAAATGATAAAATTGTTCAAGCACATTTTAATATGCTTTGATTCAATAGATAACAGTAAAAGTAGGCTCCAGTACAGAACAAAGTCATTAACAAAACCAAACAGAGCATAATGTGCTTGACAGTTTGTATTACTTTTCTGAAAACATTGTTTCTTGTAAACACTGATTAATCAATCATTCCTTTCAATAAACGTTTGACACATAAAAAATACACTGAGCAAAATGTACTTAAATGTGTATATTACTGTTTATACTAGATTATTTACTGTAAAGGCTGTGATTAATCAACCAGTCCTATCTTTAATGAACTTTTGACACTTGAAAATAAAACAGCAAGCTGAGCAAAATGTTCTTAAAAGTGTGTTACTCTTTCTGTACTAATTATTTCCTGTCTTAATATCAGTAAAATTTTCACTCATGAAAAAAAAATATGAGCAAAATGTAGGCTATAAACAAGTAATAAATGAAGTTTTAACCCCTTAAAGTGGAGAGGTCCTGGCGACCCACTGAGAGGCTTTGGCGCCCCCTTGTGGGGGTCGGGACCCCCTGGTTAGGAACCACTGCTCTAGAAGGCGCTATATCGAATACAAGCCATTTACCATGTTATTGTCTATGCTCTAGCGTTCTGAAACAAAGAAGTTTGCCTCGGCAGTACAGCCTATCAAAGATTAAACACACAAACATAAGAACAGAACAGAAACAGATACAGTTCAGTTGTTGACCTCGCCAGGCTAAGACCACCAATCCGATGGCAGGGGGTAGGACAGGTTTCAGAGCATCTGCCTGCATTTCTTCTTTTTCCCCTTCTAGCTCAAGGATAGCAGAGTGCAAGATTCAGGTAAGAAGAATTGTTTTGGGGCAGGCAGAGATAATTTCCTCTCTGCTTTTCAGTTTTTAACTGATCATTTAGTTTCTCAGTGAATCAAATTATTGGCTTTAAACTTGCCCACACCGTGCAGTGACCTTCTCCAAGATCACATCCATTTTACGCGCCAACACCGGGATTGCCGCTAGAAAATCTTGCTTGCAATTCACCTCGAGCAGCATCCCTGTCAAAGCAGTCTCCACACGGCTGAGACTTGCCATGGGTACAGGTGGCACTCCAATCACCCCCGACTTCCCAATCATCCAAAATATCAGAAATCCTCCCACACCAATTAGAAGATATCCAGTCATAATCGGGCCAAAAATCCATGCATCTTCAATATCCTCCATGGACAGCTGGGAAAGGCATTTAATATTCCATTCCTTCCAGGAATCCAGTATATACCCTACCGGGTGCGTATCTTTATTATACAGTGAAATAACGTTACCAACAATATTCCATTATTTTCAGATCCTCTGTGCACCAATTTGCACCAATTTGCACCAACATTTTGAAGCAGTTTTCCTCAGTTAAGATGTTCTTTGGGCAGTGTTTGTAAGCCTCCATTACCAGGTTAGTGCAGGCCTTCCAAATAGAAACCAGGTGACGGCAAGCCAAAGACAGTAGCTACATTATGAAAATCACAAGTTCACCTTACTGTTTTATGAATATATATATAAATTGCTGTAGTCTACATTTTGAACTTTTTTAGGTCTTACAGGTATGCATCATATTGCCAGTTTACCTGGTGAATGCATGGCTGGCTGGGGAGAAGAATAAACAGTCATCCCATTCATGCAGACAAATTTGCAAATTCATATTCAAAGATACTTTATTGATCCTCCTTCTTCTGAAAGTGTAGTTTATGCACAACTTACTGTGCAGCTTTTGTAGAAGAAAAAGTATCTTAGATTACAGAAAACATATTAATAATTATATTTGAACAATAATAACTATTATTTATATCTTAAAAAATTACAATGAAGAGAAAACCATTACTTTAAAATTTGAAGTATTATTGAAATATTTTATTGATACTTTTACACACTTTATTGCATTATATTATTGACAGTTTAATATTATTGACAGTTTATTATTAATAAAGTATATTTTATAAAAATAAAAACTCTGAAAAATATATGAAGAAAATAATATTTTTGGGAGTATATAAAATATACGTACAAGAAAAATGTCAAAATATAGTTGGACCAATTTATAAGGGGCCACAAAGTGTAAACAAACTGTTCTGTAAAATAAAAAGAAATATGCAGGGGTATTTTTCTGATATTTAACTCCTTATGGTTGTGAAGAACATACAATATTAATGTTACGATTGAAGAAAATTAAGAGAAATCAATAATTTATTGTAAATCCAATAGTTTCATATAATTTTATTATCACCTGGGAGTTCACCATAAAGGCCCTAGTCTAGTGTCTTTCTCACCTGGCAGCAGGTGGCTGAATCCCACCGTCTGTCGGATCTCGTCTAGAGACGTCCCTCTGGCTCCCAGCTCCACCATGCCGAGGGCGACGGCCACGCTCAGCGGAGAAAAGATGATGTTCTCCTGACCCCCTGCCACCTGCAGCCGATGGTACAGTCTGACCGAGAACTCCGATGTAGTGTCCTCTGGAATGTCCGCCGCCCGGCAACCGTAGCCCAGCAACAGGATGGAGAGGAGGAGGAGCGGGAACGAAATGTCTGGGATTGACATTGTTGGCGCAGAGCTGAGAGAAACAGAAATGAACGGCGTGAAAATGTGTCAAATGTGAGACAAATGTAATCTCTAGATGATTTGTGGAGTGATGAGAATCAGAAGTAGGATTGGAAGTAGATATGTAGTTATGGAACTAAACTGTGCAAGATGAGAAGGAAAAGAGGATTTAGGAAAGAGAAAAGCAAAGATGAAAGAGAGCTGAGCTGTAGGATGATAGAAATAAAACACAAGAGGGAAAATCTCCTCACCCTATCTCTAAGGCATCGGGGCAGTTCCTGTGGAGTGGCAGACCGGGGTGGTGGTCCCCATCTTTAAGAAGGGTGACCTGAGGGTGTGTTCCAACTATAGGGGGATCACACTCCTCAGCCTCCCTGGAAAGGTCTACTCCAAGGTACTGGAGAGGAGGGTCCGATCGATAGTTGAATCTCAGATTGAGGAGGTTTTCGTCCTGGCCGTGGAACTGTGGACCAGCTCTATACCCTTGCAAGGGTGATGGAGGGGGCATGGGAGTTTGCCCAACCAATCCACATGTGTTTTGTGGATTTGGAGAAGGCTTATGACCGTGTCCCCAGGGGCACCCTGTGGGGGACGCTCCAGGAGTATGGGGTGGGTGGCGTTCTGTGAAGGGCCATTCAGTCCCTTTACCAGAGGAGCGTGAGTTTGGTCCGCATAGCCGGTAGTAAGTCGGACCTGTTCCTGGTGAGGGTTGGACTCCGCCAGGGCTGCCCTTTGTCACCGGTTCTGTTCATTACCTTTATGGACAGAATTTCTAGGCGCAGCCGTGGTGTGGAGTGTGTCGAGTTTGGTGGCAGGAGAATCTCGTCTCTGCTTTTTGCGGATGATGTGGTCCTCCTAGCTTCATCCAGCTCTGACCTTCAGCTCTTGCTGGGTAGGTTCGCGGCCAAGTGTGGAGCAGATGGGATGAGGATCAGCACCTCCAATTCTGAGACCATGGTTCTCGACCGGAAAAGAGTGGCTTGCCCACTCCGGGTCGAGGGAGAGGCCCTACCTCAAGTGGAGGAGTTTAAGTATCTCAGGGTCTTGTTCACGAGTGAGGGTAGGAGGGATCGGGAGATCGGCAGGCGGATTGGTTCGGCGTCTGCAGTGATGCAGACGCTGAGCCGATCTGTCGTGGTGAAGAGGGAGCTGAGCCAGAAAGCCAGGCTCTCGATTTACCGGTCGATCTACGTCCCAATCCTCACCTATGGTCATGATCTTTGGGTAATGACCGAAAGAACAAGATCGCAGATACAAGCGGCCAAAATGAGTTTCCTCCGTAGGGTGGCCGGGCTCAGCCTTAGAGATAGGGTGAGGAGCTCGGACATTCGGGAGGGACTCGGAGTAGAACCGCTGCTCCTCCGGATCGAAAGGAGCCAGTTGAGGTGGTTTGGGCATCTGGTCAGGATGCCTCCTGGACGCCTCCCTGGGGAGGTGTTTTGGGCGTGTCCTGCCAGCAGGAGGCCCCCGGGTCGACCCAGGACACGTTGGAGAGGTTACATCTCCAATCTGGTCCGGGAACGCCTTGGGGTCCTGCCGGAGGAGCTGGTGGAGGTGGCCGGGGAGAGGACGGTCTGGAGCTCCCTAGTTGGGATGCTGCCCCCGCGACCCGGACCTGGATAAGCGGAGGAAGACGACGACGACGACTGGTTTAAAATTCTAGGTCCATTAAAAAAACTAATATGCAATTTTACCAATTAACAAAAAATAAAAACAACACTAAATCAATTTAATCCATTACAACATCTTCCTTCTCCCTTTCTACTTTGCAACCTTCTCTGACTCTTTACTTCCAAAGGACACAACACTCCATGTTTCTGGAGCTGTTGTTGCTAAGCAACATTGTTTTCTGCCAGCCAGACGGGAGAAAAAGGGTAATTTATGGCACAAACGTAAACAAAAAACTGGCTACAGATACAGAGATCTAGAGATAACATGTGTTTTGATGTTTGTTTCTCTGTTATGCTTGTTTAAAAAAAAAGCTGCAATTAGCATTCCTGAGCATGGCTGGAATCTGCTGGCTGATGCTATGTGTGAGATGGCAGGTGACTCTGCTGTCAACACATCAACAATGAGCATCAGCCAGAAAACGAGTCCCCTACCCTGCTGTGTGCTGTCCTTTTTATCTGCAGCGCTCATGTGACAAACGGTTTCCTTTCATGAAACTCAGCAAGACTAATCCACAATCCTGCAGGGGGCGCTGCATTATTGATTAAGCAGCATTTGTTTGTTTTATTATAGTCAATAAAACCAATGATGACCATCACAAGGATTCAGTATGGTGTGCTTAAACAAACTGTGAGAATAACCACCACTATTCTCCGGTAATGCTAAAAATTCATTATATTAGAATGAAGTGATTATTATTGGGACCCCAGTTTTGGATTTCTGTCAGAAAACTTTCTAAAGCACCTGAGACTGAAAAATGCTTCAAAATGATTGCAAAATGTTCTTTTTTAAACCGTTTGCACAGACTTTAATGCGAAAAGATCTTAATAAGCTTTTATATGCTTTAAAATGAGCTTTTTTTCTGAAGAATTAGATCTTCAAAACAACCGATGCTTTAAAAAAATCAACATGCGGTCTAAAACTCGCTTCGATTGGTTCATCGGTGTGTTTGTCGTGCTGATAGTCGACAGAAGCAGACTAGCAAATGGCGTGACTTGGCTGAGAGAGAGAAAAATAAACAAACAACTAATGTTGTGTGCCCATAGGCACGTCCAGAAATAATGGCACAGGCGGGTGATGGAATACAAAAAGACGGTTCTACGATCACGTTAGAATCCTAAAGCCAGATGGCACGGCCCACACCTTGTTCCAAAGGACTATACAAGTAATTTGTTAGCTTTAAAGTGGTTTGATTGGGGGTTAAACCACCAAGTAGTTCCAGAGCACGGCTGCAGCTCACCTCTACCCAGGGGATGGGCCAAATGCAGTAATGAGTTTCACCAGTGTGATGACTGATAGGACTTTAACTTTAAAGAACTGGGAACTGTTATTTGTTGTGTTTGCAGCATATTTACTGAAATAAAAAGCTATTTCAAACTTTTTAATTTTTTTTTTACTTTTTTAAAATAGGACACGTTATTTAATAGCAGCTTCTTGCATCCATAGAAGTTTTTGGAGTTTTCGGACAGTTTCTGCATGAATTAGTTTAATGTCAGAACAGGCTCCACTAAACCTAGTGGCTTAAATGTAAAGACTACTATATATTACCATATGTTGCTATGTTAAAATAAAATATACATTATTCTTTGCGTTTAAGAAGAGTAAATTGATATAGACACAAGTCACAAATCCAGTTGACTTGGTAAATTCAACATTTCATTTCTGAGTGTATGCTTTCATCCGTGAAAGACAAAACATGCACTGATCAAAAAGGAGACCCAAAGCATATCTTAAATAGAGATAAACATTAATGTTTTAAAGTTTGAAACTCCAGTCCTCACATGCAGTGTTGTTTATTGGAGAGAAAGAATGATCTAGAGGGACAGGTGGGTGAGGGACAAGGGGCCCGCCTGGCAGAGATGTAAATGCAGCTAATGTTTCTGACCTTCTGAGCTGTGGGAGCTGAACTTTTCAGAAACAGTCGCTCCTGTTTTCTGTAAGGAAAGACCCAGCCAAGCAGCTAAGGGAGGGAACGTAGCCATCTGAGGGAGTGAGGATGTGTGAGTGGATAACAAAATCATGGGTGGCTGAGCTTTTACTTGATATGGTGACACCGTTCTGGCCTTTGGAGCACCAGCACTCTGTCAACAGGAGGGCCCCACTGTGAGCACAACCTTGGCTCAGGTGGGTTTCCCAGCATAGCGCTAAACAGAAGTAAGGAAACGCAACACCGAGCAATAAAACACTCTCTCGTGACTTACAGAAGGTAACACTTTGTGTTGTTCACCATGCAAAGGTATAATCCTGACTACTTGGTTAAGTCCATGCATTTAAACTCACTGGCCTTTAAAAGCAGCCTTTAATCTCTCCGTGTAATCCTAATTCTGCAACTAAATGGAACGGCGAGTGACATTTTGACAAAGTGTGACGTCACCAAGAGCCACATCACGTACATAATCCTTGTTGCCATTTAAACTCTACACCTTCGGACAGCGTGCCTCCAAGGCCGGGGGTGGGGGGGGGTGGGGGGTGTTACTTAACGCCAGCGTTCTCGCATACATGCGCTTTGAGGTTCCCATGTAGAATTCCAACAGGGTAACCATGGCAACAGCAAGTGATGGGCATTTTTCTTTCTCTTGTAACCAAAAGATGAATTTGATGAATTTTTTAAAACGTCAACACCCTATTTTCATTCTCTACTAAGTCTCCAGCAACGACTCAGTTTTGCAAGGTATCTGCACATCAGTTCCAGTCACTTCAAGGTTAAAGAGACTTTACACACACTCATGCACACACATACACGACTCACAGTCAAAAACGTATAGCAAAAACAAGACAATCATCCTACAATTCTCTCCTCTAACTTATAAACCCCAACAGTGTCTCCCTCGTCTGCTCAGATTCACCACACACTCCTTCAGCTGGGCTCTTGCGCTCTCCAAAGCACTGAGGCTTTGACAGCTTCTGTGAAAATGCTAACATCCCATTTCATCAAGGCCCTTTCCTCTGGGGATAAACTGCAGTGAATGATGTCGGCGATTATGACTGGCCTAGAAAAACCTCGAGTTTCTGCGAAGGATGCTCTTTATAAAGCGGTGGGGTAATCTTGGCGTGACTTCACAGTGAATATGCTTAAGTTATGAAGGGCTTGGCGGTGCAGAGATAATGGATTCTGATCATCATTCATGAGCTTTACTTAGACGTGCCACAAGGGGCAGCTTTTAATTTAAAACTTGAACTGAGTCAAATGCAAGAAGATGCTTGCACACTGGCACAGAAAAAAAATGATTAAACTTGCATAAAACCTACATCATCAATCTTAAATCAGCCCTGTCTCTTGCAAGGGCTTGTATAACCCCGGCACTTCCTGCTACTGCTGCAGTGACAGTCTGTGAATCTCTAGTT